TGCAATAAAAATAATCCACTACCACAAGTGCTTTAGTTAGGAATTTGGAACATGTTCCCTGATGCCCTCCAGACAAATATTTTCTTGCAATGTTGTATACGCTTTGCCAGCTGCCTGCTCTGAAATACGGACCAAAAGCCCGACGCTCAGACACTGCTGTGACTTCCCTGTGGCCGGAGAGGTCCTAGTCTCAAAGACAACAGGCAAAGTGCAGACAACTGAAAACATCTTTTCCTCTGCAGTGCAGACAGTGCTGGACAAGACTGGGTTACAACAAACACTCTATGTCTGTTGCAGCTCAGCAGTTTGTTCTGTTTGCATGAAGGGTGTTTTTCTAACACCCCAATATGCCAGAAGGCCCATTTGCACACAGACAGCAGTCCAAAAGCTGGACTTCACCCAAATAAAGAGCTCCCTGGAGTTATTTTATTACTCTATTTCACACACATGGCTTCTCTCGGCCACCATAAAAAAAAAAAAAAAAAAAAAAAAAATGTGAGGTTTTAGCAGCAACTCCCAGCGGGCAGCAAACCGGCTTTCCACTTGTTGAAAATCCTGAAACTCCTACGGAACCTTTCTGCTTTCCCGCCGGCACCCGCCGGGCCAGGGCGCTGCAGCGGAGCGGAGCAGCGCGGGGCTCCGGGGCCCCCCTGCCGCAGAGCGCCCTGACCTAACACTACATGTAAATTTAGTTTTCATCCTCCTTTCTCAGTTTACACTTATACTTTATACGTTTTGAAGCAAAACCTAAAATACAAAGATTCAGCTTGGGCGGGCTTCATTTTAAGTGCATTTGGAAGATACAGTCCTAATATTCATAAGAAATGTTATAGTTTACATTGTTAAGGAAACAAATTAAGCAAAAAAATGTACGCTATCTCATCTCAGATGATCACACGTTAGTTGTCCTGTTTGCAAATAAACACCTTTTGGTTTGAAAATGCCCACATTTTAAACCTTTCCTTGTCCCTTCTCTTCATAACGAGATTTCTGGAAAAAAAGTTCTTCCAAAGACAAAATCTCATGGCCATTTTACTTGTTCTTCAGTGCTGATTAATGTAGTCAGTAAGCAATATATTTGAGAACCTCTTAATTAATGTCTATATTCAAATACCATCCAGAACTTTCCCTATAAAAAGCATAATAGACATTTTTTTTTTAAACTATAAGTGCACTACTTCAAGAGCCTTCAATATGATGTCTATATTCCAGTTTATGCAAGAAAAACATCTGAATTGATCTGTTCTTTTGTGGGAACACTATTGCTCCCTTCAGGAATGGTATGGGCCATACAGAGAGATGAGAATGGAGGAGAAAAGGGGAAAAAAAAGAAAAAAAAAGGAAGAAAGAAAAAGAAAAAAAGCAAGCAAGTAGAACCTCAGGGCACAGACGTTCAAGATCAATCAATAAAGCAGATAAGAGCACAAGCCACAAAAGCAAAATAAGGTCATGAGAGGCAGGCTGGCTTGCTACTCAAACATCAGAAGACTAGAGGTTAAGGCACATGAAGCAAAAGTAGCAGTTTCAGAATTTCACAACAGGAACAAAACTGCTCTGATCTTTCTGAAAACCCATCTGATTCAGCTAAACTAGAAACTACATCTGGAAACTAAGGATATTTTATCTGAACAGTGATAACATTTCTCCACCAAGAGACTTGTAATTGCTATTACAACCCATACCTACACGGTATTCTGTATTCAGTGCCTAGATATCAAGATGCAACAATTCCGGAATTCCCTTTATCCAGCAAGGCCAGGAATTAGCTTCAGGACTCAGAATATCACTTTGCAGGAAGCAAGAGAAGACCAGTCAACTGCAGAGTTCAACAGTGACCAGAAGGGGCAGCCTGTGGCAGGAGCTGTTTGCTCCTGGGGGCCAGGAACCATCCAGGTGCACTTTGCTTCTTTTAATCTCTGATTGAGGCACTCAAAGCAGCTGGCATTCAAACAGCAAAAAGGAATTAGGATGTTTTACATCAAGTGTTTGTGGATTCGCATTTCTTGTGACCACATCTCCTGGCATTAGTTAGGTCCTACAAAGGACATCATGTGCCGAATCACACTCCTTGTTCCTCAGGGAACAAGCAGGAGCAATGACTGGGGATCCAACACGGTAGAGAGAAGCTGGTGACAAGACCCTGGGGCCAGCTCTGCTGCCGGGCTGTCACCCACGTTGTACATGGGAAGCTTGTTACTGCCAGCCTCTCTAAAGCGGCTTCACCTTGGCAGCCAGTGCTGAAGAGTCCATGTGACCGAGCAGTGCAGACCATCTGCGATGGGTCTGTGGCTCTCAGGGTCACCTGAAGCCAGGGAGCACTGGAGCTGCACACGGAGACCCAACACGCGGCAGTGCCTGGCGCTCGCGGGCGCCCAGGGCATTCCACATTCCCCGCTGCCGCCTGATTAATTGGTCCTGAGTTAAAAAGTTACAGAGCAATCAAAGAGATTGATTGGTTTTAATTATGAAGCTTCATAACCAGAAACTGAGAAGTACTTAGACCACCTAACACCCAAGCTTGTCCAAGAAATTGCTTACCGCTTCACAAGACTTCTCACTGTTACTGTCTAATATACTAATGTATTAAAGCCTAAATATTAAAGTACCATGCAGCCAAAGTGCTTTGAAGGATAAAAAAGGAGGAAAAAAATAAGGAGATATATATATATATACACACACACTATATATATATGTATATTTATATTTTTAAAAAGTATCTTTATCCTCAACAACTAAGACAAACAGCTTTCTGTGCAAATTCTGGGTAAACTTTATTATCAGATTCTGGCATTCTAACAAATTAGTTGTGAAATTCTGTTCAGATCCCCCACACACAACTGACACAACCCAAAAATCAGAAATACGTCAACTTTTGTCATTTGCAATTAATCTTATTTATGTACAGTACTATTCACAGATGTGGATAAGCAGCTAGAGGAGTGAAAGGCAGCACCAGAATAAGATGTCTTAAGACACATTACCCTTTCGACAGGATTCAGAGACACTGACCTTGTGGCTCAAACATCCACACCACTTAGAAACTGAACCATGCAGTTCAGGCCAGGGGCCCTGAAAACAACAGAGCCCAATCCCTGTGTGCACAACCAACAACAGAGGCTGCCCTGATCCAGCTGCACTGCCAGACCACGGACAAGGATTCGGCCTTGGTGGAGGGGGCCTTTTGGACCTGTGACTACTATGCAGAAATCCCAGACTTGGAATATGCAGTTATTTTCCAAATGAAAAATTAATGCAGTCACTTTGAGGACACTTCTTCCCAGGGAAGTACAAAAGCACAGCCCTATATAGCAATCTCTCAAACTCACATATACCGTCATTCTGTTTTGTTTATGGAACAAATAACACACAGTAATAACAAAAATCTCCTTTACCTGTAACTTTTGTTCATCTTCCACTCCTTGCAGCCCTGAGAGATTGTGCTCAGCCTCATCCAGCCATTTAATTAGACTATCCTGTGCCTTCTTATACTGTGAAAACACTGGAGAGAGTTCTACCACCTGCCTCCTTTGAAATGACCTACACTCCTACAACCCAATGCATTAGGAAAATACAGTATGAGAAGAGTTCTTTACCCACAGTCAGGAGTATTAAAGTGGTTACAGGCTCACTCCAACCCTGACACTTGGAGCTATACATCCTCTTTCCTGCTTGAATACAAACCATGCACGTGAGCCACACGCAGCAGAAGGACGTACATACCGATTTGTTCTACACAAACATATGAAATATGGCATGTGTTTGAAAGCACCTCAACATGCCTGGGTGAGTGACTGTTGATACTACTCGCTATAGTATTATATATTATATTATATTATATATAAATGCTGTATTATATACATATACACACTATATGCTATACTATAAATACTATAATACATATATATATATTATAGTATGTAACAGAGGAGGACAATTCCTTGGCAGACTTGCATTCACTTCCACCTCTTCTGCCATGAATTCCATGAATACATTTGCACACATCTGAGCAGTCACTGTTTTGCACACCCCTGCATACTGACTGTACACTCCTGTGTACTGAGATAAAGCTTTGTAGGAAGACTGGTAAAGATATAGTGAAGAAAATGTCCAGTTATCTGCACTCAACTATATCAACACACAGTGTGGTTTTCTGAAGCTTTGAAAAGCCTTTTTTTAATTTCATGTTAATGCTTCTTTGTTTTAAAAACTCTTCTGAAGGACAAAATTTCTATTTTGGAATTGCAGAGATTCAAAGAGTCAGAATATGTGGGTGCATAGGCATCCACATGTTGAAATTTCAACATTCCTGGAGAATTCTATGAGCTATGGAAAGTCACAAACAAATTCTAAGTGGGCTACCGAAAAAAAGACTGAGGAATGAGCTGTAATCGTACGAGTTATCAGAACGATACCTGTGTGTTGTTGTACTTGCTCTGCAGAAGCAACAACTGTATGCGGATCTTCTCTCTCCTACTGTCCTCCATGGGCTGCTGTAACAGTTGCCCTCCTCTCTGCAAAACCTCTTCAATCTGAGCTCTTTCTTGATCCAGCTAAAATTACAAAAGTCCACAGTCATCTACAGAAAACTCAGCTGTGGTTTCCAAAATGAATTTAATACTGCCCAGATATTAATAGTAACAGTATCATCTTTTTTTTAATTATCCAAATGTCAACCAAATAAATCCAAGCAAAGACATTCCTTTCCTCCAGAACTACCAAATCCTATAAAGCTCCTTAGTCATTCTATAAAATTTGCCCTGCAGGAAGCTCCCTTGTGGCTGGCTACTGCTGCCTGTTCACCAGGAGTGGGCTAAGACTTCAGCTCCATTTATGACTTTATTACCTAAAATTTAAATTAAAAAAGATGTCTGCCCAAGATACTAGATAAGAGGACGAAACTGTCAGCTGCAAAGTAAAATGTCAGCCCCATTAAGTAATCACTGCAAAAGAAGCTCAGAGAGCTAAATACCAAATGAAAATGCTTTGCCCTCTGTTATTTTTACAGGAAGGATACCTGACAAACAGCTACTTTAAGCAGGAGAAGAGGACTGAAAGCAAAGCTCCCTACATATAGCAGATTTTACAAAATCACAACAAAAATACAGACTGAAAAACTACTGGTTAGTACTTCACACCAACCAAGAAAAAGCAGCAGCTATAGGAAAAGCATGTAGAAATCATGCAGTATTTCGAACAGCCTGGAAATTCCCTTCATTTTTGATTGCTAGCTTAAAAAAAAAATCTCAAAAAAAAAAATCCCTGGAAGTCAAGAGAAAGGTAACACTGAACTGAACACAACAGAAAAATTTAGCCATCTTGCTTTCTTCCAGTACTCACAAACCTTTTCATCTTCCTCACTCGACTCCACATGCTTTTCCACAGCCTTTAATATGCTCTGTATGTCACACTCAAATTTATCCAGATCTGGAAAAGCCACTCTGACTTCCCGGGGCTCTGACATGACAGGAAGTCGTTCTTGTCCAACAAGCATCTGCAAAGAAAAATAAAAGCTTTTCAAGTTGAAAATTTAGTCTGAGATGTCATATACACATTCTCATGGAGCATTGGTTTAAATTATCAATAAGCATGTAGGACCACCAGATATCTGTAGAATAAAATTGCAAGAGCTGTTTAATATAACACAAAGTTAGCTTGTAAAAGTGTTGGTAGGTACTGGAAGGCTTCTAGCTTTAACTCCCAATCAGCACATCTTCATCTTAAAAGAAAAATAAACAAAACCAAAGAAACAACCTCCAGTCACATTAGCTTATGGTCTGGCCTGCAGTTCAATTAAATAGGTACCATAATATTACATTTTTCTGAATCTTTATAGTATCCAATTATTTGTTACCTTCCCCTTGCAACTCAAACCAGTATCTGCTCTCTAGGTAACTCAGAAAGCAATTATCAAAAATGAGTCAATCCATTTTTTGGTATATAAAATCTAGTAATAAACCAGAATAACAAAATAAGCAAATTCTGTTTTAATACCTGTCCCCAAAGCTCTTTTTCATTATTTTGGTATAGATACCACAGGCACATTTTGGAGCCCTCTCCTCCTCACCTTGGCACTTTTGATGTGTTGAGAGACCTTCTCAAAGTTACGGTTGAGCTCGGCCAGCTTGGGTTCAACAAGCTCATGACACGACACCCCTCGGCCTTTCATGAGGATGATGGCCTGGTCACGCACGTTATTCACTCGCAGGCTAACATCATCTAACTCACACGTCAAACGCTGAGAAGTGGAAGGAAAAGCAAATGGTTACGTTAAGTAACATACAGGAAGGGAGGGGGAGGAAAGCAGCGAGCTCGACTTGATTTTGTTTAGAAGCCAAAAACAGGTATTTGACAGCTTCCTCCTTTAAAGGTAACACTTCCCACCTTCACTGTTTCCTCCTTCTTGCTTGCTGGCTTTTTCTCAATCTCGTCCAACAAGGCTTCAGCCTGATACAACCAAGTACTTATGTGGGCAACGTTTTCATCAAAGATCTCCAGCTGGCTCTGATGATTCTGGAAAAGGATGGAGGAGAAGGAAAAAAAAAAAAAAGTTTATCTACTTCATCTACACAAGAAAAAAAAACACTTTTAATGTTCTGAGTAAGAAGGAGAATCAAGGAAACAAAGTGTTACGAAAAGCCTTGGAAAGAAACAGTGAGAACTACATTGTATATTTCACCTTCAATAAATCTTCAATAAACGTTTACAACAATTCAATTTTCACTCTAGACCCTTCAATATTATTGCTCCTAATTCACAGGAGAAAGAACAGAGAAGTAACTGACAGTTAGTCCAAGAGATTACAGCCAGCCAATGTATTACAACCAGACCACAACATCTCTCGACTAATGCATTTTTCTTGGTGCATTTTTTTTCTGTTTTTTTTTTTTCTGAGAAGCAACAAAATATGCACCAAACCAAGAGAAGATCAATAGCTCGTTTTTCAAAAAACAACAAAAAAAGGTACAGATGAAACCACCTATATTCAAAGTCAACAGAATGAAAAGGATTCTCAAAGCATACTGTTTTCCAGCTATGACTGGCAAATACAACAGCAGCTGTTTTGCATGAGATATACCAAACCCACAAATTATGATGACATTTTACTTATTTTATTAAAATAGATACTCCTTTTAACAAAAACACCTACATTTTAGACATACTAATTAGGTCTGCTTTCATATCTAGTCAGAAATTGTAAGGTTACATGCTACCAAGAAAAACAATACACTATACACACAACACACGATACTACTTCTCTCTACTTGACACAGGGAAATTCCAGAATTCTCACAAGGTATTAATAAAAATACTATTAATATATATATAGAAAAAAAAAGTGCCTTAACATGGGTAGAATTCAGAAATTGAAATGGGGAAAAAGCAACAAATAAGAATGTGTCTGCTAAACATACTCTGGATTTTCTTGAAGGGGGAAGAAAGGTGGTACATGTGTATAGAAAAGATGAAGTCATACCACAAAGTCTAGGGAGTGCAAGAACCCAGGACAGTCCTACCACTGATGCCATAAGAGAGAAAGGAGAAGAGGAAAAATAAAATAAAATGAAAATAAAATTAAACCAACAGTTTTATTCCCCGCATCCAGGCAGGTTACTCCCCACTTGCTCCAGTCATCTGTCTATTTACGTAGTTTGATCGCTGCAGCATCCAGACCGGGCGCGTTTATCTCCTACCCACTGAGCACTACCCACAGCTACTGAGCACGCACTAGTGATGCCTATTGGCAAGCACGAAGCATTCACGAAACTTCCCACCTTCCTCATTCCATATATCCTCATATCTCAGCTCCCTGTCTACACAGTAACTATAAATCCCTCCATTCCTTTAAGCCCCCGAGGTGCCATAGAGGCTGCACAGGAGGGCAAAGTCAGAGCAATAGAAGCTGCAGCTCCTCCAAGGCCGAGGAGGGGGAGCGTTCTTGGCGCCCGTGCCCCTTACCAGCAGCGTGTCGCACCAGTCCTCGGTCCACGTGCGGACTCGGCTCCAGCCGGCGTTGAGGACGCACAGTGTCTCCTCCAGGGGGGCCCCGCCGCCGTCCCCCAA